TTCCTTTTGCCTTTGAATAAACCATACTTTCTGTACACCCTTATGCTCCACCTTGAATTGATTCATTTGTGAAGGGAAGAGGCTAGAAAGAATACAGCCAGGGCCCTGTTGAAGACAACATAAATGGTACACCGGCCAAGAGTTTGGAGCAGGAGTCCTTTGAGACATCAATTGGTGAGTTTCACCTATCACCTCTCTTGTGTTTGAGGGTCTTGATTTCTTTCTCCCTTTTTCTCCTACCATTCTGACCCATGATGGACTAATTCCTTTTAGCCCAACTGTATCTGCTCCCTCCGGCAACTATTGAAGGTAGAAAAGTAAAGAGCTAACACCATATGCAGATTGGATAATTTTGAGTCTTTGTGAAGCTGCTTTAAAAGAGAGACTTCGGAGGTAAGTGGAGGGCAGTGCTGTGGCATTCTCAATTAAGCCTCCCTCTACAGCTTTGGAATCACATATGAGTGCTGTTTTGAGTCCCAGCTTTCTTCTTCTAATCCAGCACCCTGCTGATGCACCTGGGAAAGCAGTGGAAGATGGCCCAAGTGCTTGGGCCCCTACACCTACGTGGAAGACTCAGATGAAGCTCCTGGCTCCTGGCTTTGGCCTGGACCATCCTGGCCATTGTGGCCATTTTGAGACTAAACCAGAGGATAGATCTCTCTGTCTTTACCTCTTTGTAATTCTGACCTTCAAATAAATAAATTAATATTTTGAAAAAAAAGGGTGGCTGGGACATGCCCCAAGCTGTTCAGTGCCTACAAGGTCTCCTTTTGTTTTATTCTCACCATCTGCACATGGATATTCTACTTTGACTAACTTCCTGTCCCTATGCCTTGCAAACCTCAAACCTTTTTGCCACTTCAGGATGAGTGGCCCATTGCATATTTTGTCACCCTTACAAATGAAGCGTTTGGTCCACATGGAGTTAACATCTGCCTATCGATGGCAAACAGATTCTGTCATCCTCTGACCAAAGCCAGGAGCCAGAAGTTTTTTCCAGGTCTCCCTTATGGGTAGCAGAAGCCCAAATACTTGGACCATCTTTTGTTGCTTTTCTCAAGCCATTTGCAGGGAGCTAGATCAGAAGTAAAACCTAGATATGAATAGGCACCCATACGTGATGCCAGCATCACAACCAGTGGCTTTACCAACTATACCACAACACCAGCCACAGATAGAGACTTTTATAACCCAAACAGAAAAATTAGTTTTCAAAATCACGCTAAAAGAAATAATGTCATATTTGGTGTTCCCAAGATCTCATTCCAAAGTGATAATGGTCCCTACTTTGTCCCCAAAGTAACTATTAGGAGATAGTTGGTTGATAGTAAGTAAGGTTGAAATGGCCGACAATAGTCTTAAGAGGACTCTCAATAAAATTATTGCCTATTGCCCTCCTTAGGATGAGGATGGCACCAAGGCTAACTTAGAACTTTTGCAATGTTAAATCAAAGGCCCTTCCTCATCTCTGACATTTTCTTTGATTCCCACACTCAAGATCAATTAAAGAACATCAATTGATACCAGATACAAAAGGCTCAGACACAATATCACAACAAGATTCTTCTTGTGCCAGATTCAAAAAAATCATGAATCGCCAGTCACCTCATGAGATCAAATCCATTAAAAACTTCAAGAGATAGATATTTCTCTAATCAGTTATTGACCAAGTAGAAGGGACTCTAGCATGTGCTTGCTAGAACTACTGCTTCAGATAAAAATCAGGAATTCCTTTCTTTTAAAAATATTTATTTGTTTGAAAGACAGAGTTGCAGAGACAGATAAACACACACACACACAGAGAGGGGGGGAGGAGAGAGAAATATCTTCCATTCCATACAGTGTTTCACTCCCCAAATAGTTACAACGACAGTGCTGGATCAGGCCTAAACCAGAATCCAGGAGCTTCATCCAGGTCTCTCACTTGAGTGGCAGGAGCTCAAAGCTTTGGGCCATCCTCTTCTGCCTTTCCTAGGCCAATAGCAGGGAGCTGAATCAGAGTGGAGCAGCCAGGACATGAACCAGAGCCCATATGGGATGCGAGTATCACAGATGGTGACTTTTCCCATTATGCCACAACACCGAATCCTCAGGAAATTTCTACTTGGATTCATCTATCAAGATTTAAACCTCTACCACTTGAATCTTCACAGGCACTACCCAAAGGATAATTCTGTCTACTCTTTTGGGCCTACTCCAGTTTATCTTCAAAAAGCTACAATATAAGTAAAATGTTTACTTATATTGTTTTCCATAAATTCTTCCCTAGACAGACACATTAAGGCTAGTGCACTTGGCAGCTGGCATGCTTTTCCTCCATCTCCTGTTTTCTTGAGAAATTGCTATTGGCAAAAAAAAGACACCGGTAAGCTCTTCCACCATAAGAGGAGGAAATCTTAGTACATCCCAGAAAGTTTCTTTAAGGAACTCAGCTGTTGCCTTGGGTAACTTAGCAGAAACCAATATCCAGGCCCTATGACAACTACATGATTCTGTGGATTCCCAAACTGATGTGGTCATGGACAACGTAGAATATCTACTGTAGGACAAGGGAGGATATGTGCAGTGACTAATGAAACCTGCTATGAGTGGGCTCTGAGCAAGAGATACAAAAGGCTTTCTAAACAAGCCAAGTGGTTTTATGATTTTAGTAATAGAAGCCCATCTGGGAGTAAGCATTCTTCCTTCTCTGACATGATTCTTAGCCACGTTCTTTGTCAAACTGTGTTCTTCCTAATTGTCAAATTTATTTCTTTTAGAATTCAACAGTCCCATGCCAAAACATTGGTCATGCATGGATTCCAGCCAATGCCAATGACTGGTGGCAGACCTTGACCTCCACAAACATCTTTAGGTCAGTCAGCAGAGGATTTTCAGTCCCTGGCTCGGAAGGAAGGATGTCCTGATACAGCAGGAAGAAGTTACAGAAGGGAGACCTTCTTCCCTGAAACTCCCATTAAGATTACGGGGCAAAACTGTCTGATAGGAAAAATGATAGGAGCAGGTAGGCAGTATTACCAATTGGATTACCACCTGGTGGCACATCCCCTATGTAACACCAACCACAGCTGACCTAGCACAGGAAAGTTCTAGACAGCCCGTGCAGCAGCCAGAACTAGCCCACATATGACACTTCTGCCAGTCCCATATGGCAGCTCTAACTGCATCATCCAAATCCCTGTTCTGTGCACTACATAACTCTCTTTATGTTTATCACCCAAACTGTGAAGCACCAAGTCCTCCCTCCTTTTCTATGCAGTGGAAACCCTATGCCCTACAATGTTGCAAATACAGAATTAATGTCAGCTATAAATATCCAATATAGCTGAAAGATGTGTTCCCATGATGACTTTAAGTTATTAAAATGTTACTATTACTATCAAATTAAAATGGTGGGCATTCCCACTACCATTATGCACCTGACACCATGACATTACCAATGTTTCCAAAAAAGGGCATGGAAATGGACAGTAGTCAAGCCCCACCCCAAATTCCACCCACTTTTGAATATTCAATTAGGCCCTACTCCAGACACAATCATACTGCCTCCCAGTAGTATGAAAGGATGGCCCAAATATTGTTCATGGGTCCACTGTTTGTAGTTTGGCTTTTTATTCATTTTCTCTCTCTCTCTCTCTCTCTTCTCCCTCTCCCCCCCCCCAACTTGAGCTTACCCTCACTTAAGTCTTGAGTGTACACTACCCTTTACCTTTGAATAAATCATGCATTCCTGTATAGATTTATTGTTCCACCTTGAATTCTTTCAAGCATGGAGGAAAAAGCCTGATTCTTACCAGCTGGGAGCCACATTGATCACAAGAAGATCTCAACAGAAAACACTACAGAGATTTCTCTAAAAACTGGAAATATATTGCCAAATGACCCAGCAACTGCACATCTGGGTATATATCCAAAACACATGAAATCATTGTATCAAGGAGATACCTGCTCCACTGTGTACGCACTGCAAAATTGCTCACTATACCTAAGATATGGAATCAACTAAGGTGTTCATTATCAGGTGAACAAATAAAGAAAATGTACACACAAACACATACACACAATGGAATACTAGTCAGTCTTTAAAACAAATGAAATCCTATCTTTTGTAGCAAAATGGATGGAACTGGAGAACGTCAGGTTAAGTGAAGTAAATCAGATGCAAAAAAGACAAATATTATATGTTCTCCCCCACATGTGAATCTGAACGCTGAATGTTGATTACTAGATCAAGGAGGGGCAGAGGGATAGAGGGGGCTTGACATTTTGAAAACGGGACATTGTGTGTGATTCAATAATTGTGACAGAAAGATCGCACTAATATGTTGACAATAGGGGAATCTGAGTGTGGAGCATATGAGATCTCTTCACAATTTTTGTTTTGTTAATTTAAAACTATTCTCAAAAGCTGACAAATTAAATAGCTACATTTTAAATTATTGTAAGAATAGGGAGGCTTCATCCTGCCAATGGCTAAAGACCACAATTAAAGCAATGTGATGTGAATACAAGTCATCCAGTTCCATGCATTTGACAAACAATATACTTTCTATCAATTTTAATCAAGTAAATCAACCATATTGGCTACACTGCTGCAAGTACTGAATTATCTATTAAGAATTAAACCCTAGACTTTTGGCATTTAATTGTAGTATCAGGGATTCCCCAGCAAGTAAATGATAAAATCACCTAATGTTCAGATTGCAATATTACCACAGATTCCTTCAACATACTACTGAATCCTCAATGAAGAAATTCCTTAATGGGAATGTGATGGGCTGCTGACACAATAATCTTTAATAAATACATATAAATGTCCTAAGATTTAGAAGAAATTGATTCTTACACATTTAATCTAGAATATAAAACCTTTTTCTAGACTTTCTTATTGTCCTACCATTAATAATTTTGGAAGTACATTTCAAACATGTGCCGTACATTTATGAAAGAGATGAACTAATAAAAATTTATTAATGAATTTTCCTAATTATAAGACTTACTTCCTCAGAACCACAGTCACAGACTTCACCGGTCTCTACTCTGCCATTGCCACAGACTGCTCTCCTTTGACTCTGCATTTGTGGTTTATTCTGAAGACAGCTGGCATGCTGATTTGAAATGAAACTTTCAAAGTCACTCAAACTGCAATTGCTAAAAGTCTTTGCACCACTGGATGTCCTAAAGATTAATTAATAAAATGTCATTGGCATTGTACTTCTGAAAATATAATTCCATATTACATACATTAATTTCAAAATGCTGAAATTTAACAAGTGATAAGAAATGTTAATAGCAAGTGCTTAGAGGCCAAATTCATTCTTGAGGCAGTAATATGATTTGATTTAATGGAATACATGTCTTTATTTTTTAAAAGTAAAATACAACTCAATAGTAAAAACCCAAATTACCTAATTTAAATACAGGAAAAGGACTTTAATATACAGTGCTCCAAATAAAAATTAATACTTAATAGGCAATAAGCTTTTATTAGACAAATTATATTGAGTTTAGCTCTAAACTTCCTCAAAGATCTCAGAAGAACTTAATATTTATATAATTATACCCATTACTATTAATAAAGATAAGTGCATAAAATATTTTCACTGACAGTGTAAGTTTTGATATGTAGCAGAAATCTATAAGGAGAAAACTGACACAAATTCAGCACCTATTATATTTTATATATGATTATTGAACCCTTACAACAAACCTCAAAAGTCAATTCGTAAATTGGCAGAATGAGTATTGAGATAATGATTTTGAATTTTTAAAATTTTTTTTAATTTTCTTTTATTTATTTGACAGGTAGAGTTATAGACAGTGAGAGAGAGACAGAGAGAGAGGTCTTCCTTTCGTTGGTTCACTCCCCAAATGGCCGCTATGGCTGCCGCTGTGCCAATCTGAAGCCAGGAGCCAGGTGCTTCTTCCTGGTCTCCCATGCGGGTGCAGGGCCCAAGCACTTGGGCCATCCCAGACCACAGCAGAGAGCTGGACAGAAAAAGGAGCAACCGGGACTAGAACCCAGCACCCATATGGGATGCCGGTGCCACAGGCAGAGGATTAACCAAGTGAACCACGGCGCCAGCCCTTATTTTGAATTTAATATATGTAAATAACATTTGTATATAAATGTTGCATAGTTAATATTTTTAATTATGTATAATTTTGATCTCCTAAATGATTAAATCACAATGATTAATGCAGCATCACTTCACCACATTTTGTATCAAGAACCTTTAAAATTTTCTCTGTTAGCAACTTTCACGTATCAGTAGAATATTATTAACTATTGTCATGCTGCACAAATTTACAATTTTCAAGATATAGAATAAACCTATGTGTTCACCAATAGATAAATGAGGAAAGAAAAATGCAATAAATACCATTGGCCCTCCATATTTGCATATTCCACAACCATGGATTTAACCAACCACAGACAGAAAATATTTTAAAAAGTGCATCTGTACTGTAATTATTTCTTGCAATTATTACCTTAAAATACAGTTAAAACTATTTATATAACATTTGTATTGTGTTAGGTATTGTAACTAATCTAGATATGACATAGAGTATACAGGAGGATGTGGGTAAGTAAAGCATTCTTAATCCAAAAACCAGGACCAGAAGTGTTTCAGAATTCTTTTTCGATGTTAGGATATTTGAATATACATAAAGAGATACCTTGAATATGTCAACTTAATTTGTTTCATATACATATCATACGCATACCCTTTAAGGTAATTTTATGGACTGTTTCCAGTGAACGTGAATTTTGCTGCATGAAATCAAATATGTAATTTACCACTTGCAGTGTCATGTCAGCTATCAAAAACTCAGATTTTGGAGAATTTATAATTTCACAGTTTGAGAATTTGATTTCTCAACCCCATTCTATATCATGTTATATAAGGCATGTGACTACCTCTAAATACTGGTATTAGAGCACTAGGGATGGAGATTTGAGTCCTGGAATTAATAACCTATGAATATCAAGAAACTTCTGCTGTACACAAGACTATTCAAATCCTCTCATTTGCAACAACACAGATGAACCTAAAAAATATTAAGTGAAATAAGCCATGCACAGAAAGAAAAATACTACATGATCTCATTTAGATATCAAATCTAAAGAAGTCCTGGGAGTAGAGAGTAGAATGTGGTAATTAAGGGAGGTGAACATACAGATGGGGAGCTGAGGGAAATACAGAGTGGTGAGAGGTGCTTGTTCGACTTCAAACTCAGGTACTTGTAATACAAAAGTAGCATTACTTACATCAGCTAGTTGACCAGTAGCAAACTATGTATACAATGTAAGGTCACTTAAGCTGTTTGTATTACAGGGACTTCTTAACACATTCAGTAGAAATAAGAATTGCCTAACTTACATGATTTGCTTGAGAATTCACCTAAATAGTAATGTATGAGATATACTGTGGAGATGAAAAGGAGCATATGATAGTTATATTTTCATAAAAATTAATATAATGTTGTCCTATACAAATCACAAGAAAATTGTAAGATTATTTATTAAAGGACCTTAAATATCATAAAGTACAATGTAAATCTAAGGATTTATTAATAGATTAAACACTCAGTTCTACCACAAACTAACTCTCTAATCATGGAAATACTATTAATTATCGCTTATTATTTATTTATAAATTATGTATAACTCAATCTCATCTGTAAGACTGGACATAATAGGGTCTGTGCTGTAGGGATGTTGTGGCAATCAGACGAGTGTTTAAATATACAGTGTTTGGAATGGTTTCTGGCATATGGTAAGTTAACGTAAATATTAACCTTAGTAACAATAATACTAGACTCTGGGTAAAATAAACAAAACATCTTTTCATAGCATATTTGAGAATAGTTAGCAAAGAAACAATGGGTCGAAACAGTATTTTCAAATTGTGGAGAATATCACTATACAGAGTACTAACTCATTTATTTTGAGAGTTCCTTCAAAAATTTCATGAAAACAGAATTTAAATATAAGCTTATTTTGGTATAAAACATTTTGAAATCCATGCATAGTGGTTGGCTAATATATTGTTCATTAACTTTCTAAAAAAATTATCATATGCATGAATTTAAATGTTGCACCAAAATAAACTTATCATGTAATTTCTTTTTCTACAAAAATTGTAAGTCTCCTCATGTGTGTGCATGTATGTGTGTGAATGTATATTCTCTCAAGTTATGCATCTATATGGACAGTATGTATTTTTACACATCTATACATGGATATATGTGTATATAATAACTCTGAGGAGCAAATTTCAATAATGTCTGCATTAGGTCTACAAGTATGTCTGCATATACATGTATAAGTATGTATATGTTTGTTATATTTATAGAATATGAGAATTAACACATTCAGTGGTGTTTAGTTATTATTACGAAAAAATCTTGTTTTCAAAAAATTAATGCCTTTTCAATTTTGCCTTTTAATAGTTTTTTAGCAATGAATAGGTAATATCTGTCATAGGCCAAATTCAGTAACAGAAAAACCATAGAATTCTAACGGCTGTTGTTCTTGTCTAATGCCTTATGTTGATTGAAGACATTGGTAAATTTATAAATCACTATAGCTAATCCATCACATATATAGAGAACTATATAATTTTCATATTTTATTTTATTCTTATATCATCTTCTAAATAAAAGAATAGGAATGATCATTCCTATTGAAAATTTTTTTAAACAAGGTCTAGTTTCTCCAAAGCCATATAAATACTTTATATTTGATATTGGTCTTCAATTAGACATTCTGTCCTTTGGATGGTTTTAATATTTTACCGAACATTAAATTATTCTAAAAAAAACCACAAAATTTCTATTTAAATAAAGATAATAAAGATCATATGTTACTGAAATATTTCTAAACATCCTTAGTGCAATCACCAAATGTGTATATTAAGGAAAATATCTATGCTAATATAGACTGCAGATTCAATTTGTTTTCCTGGATTGTCTTTAATGGTACACATCTATCACGCACTTACCACTTTAACTTACACATTTATGTTTTGTAGTTAACATGTTCTATTTATAATTAGTTTATGCTATAGATAAATATGAAATGATTGCACTTCAAATATTTCAAACAAAATTAAAATGACCAAAAATAAGTCCTTTAAAGAAACGTACATAGCTTGTGGATTCATTATACAGATGGTTTCTGAGCAGTGACATTTCTTTGGATCATCATATGATATCCCCAGACTGAGTGCCAGCATCTGGGAGACAACAACTGAAAACGCCTCCAAAGTCATCTCCTTGGGATACTATAACAACAGCAAAGAAGATTCGGATGAAGGAGAATTCATTAACTGGTGGCAAAAAAATGCTCTAATTCTGAACATTACTGCTTTTTAAACAAATATTTAACAAATACTCTTATGCACACTTAAGAAGCTGAAGCTCTTCTAAAAAATTTCTACTAAATTATAAACATAATTGCTTATAATTTAATCTAAATATGTTATAAACATATTTAGATAATGCCAAGTTTTGTTATAATTTAACAGATGAATGCTAGCAAACGTAAGGACGTGACCATAACTATATAAAATAGGCTTTATATGACGAGGAAAATCTACATAGACTTTTGGCTGTATGGATCATAGTCTTCTATTCACCCAATTTTATTATCTTTCTAAAAAATTTTTAAAGTGAACAAATTTCATGTATTTCACATAAAACAGATTTAGGAGCACAGTAGTACTACCCACCCTCCCTCTTCCACCCTTTCCCATTCCATCAGTTAATTTTTACAATGATCTACTCTCAGTGTATTTTATACTCATAATTAACCCTACATGAAGTAAAAAATTCAACAAATACTAAGAAGAAAGAAAACACTGTTCCTTAAAGGTAGATACAAGAGCTATAAACAATCAACAAATCTCAAAATGTAAATTTCACTCTTACATTACATTTTTTGATACTCTGTTAACAGATAGATCAAGGAAAATATATGGTATTTTCTTTTTGCGACTGGCTTATTTCACTAAGCATAATGATTTCCAGTTGCATCAATTTTATTACACAACAGAAGATTTCATTTTCTTATGGCTGAGTAGTATTCCATAATTAATATACATATATATATAATCACAATTTCTATATCCAGTCATCAACTGATGAATATCTATGTTGATTCTATATCTTATCTATTGTGAATTGAGCTGCAATAAACGTGGGGGTACAAATAACTCTCATATACTCATTTCTCTTCCTTCAGATAAATTCCCAAAAAGTGGGATTGTTGGGTCATACAGCAGATCTATTTTCAGCTTTCTGAGGTATGTCCATACTGTCTTCCACAATGGCTGCACCAGAGTGCATTCCCACCAAGAGTGGATAGAGTACTTTTTACCACATCTTCACCAGAATTTATTATTTGTTGATTTCTGTGTGAGATCCAATCTAATTGGGTTGAGGTGAAACCTCATTGTGTTTTGATTTCCTTTTCCCTGATGGCTAGTGATTCTGAGCATTTTTTTATTTGTTATCTGGCTATTTGTATTTCAGCCTTTGAAAAAGGCCTATTGATATCTATACCCCATTTCTTAACTGGACTGTTTTGTTGTTGTTGAGTTTGTCGAGCTCTTAACAGATTCTGATTATTAATCCTTCATCAGTTGCAGAGTTTGCAAATATTGCCTCTCTTTCTGATGTGGTTGCCTCATCCTTTTGCTGAGTGTTTCCTTTGCAGAACAGAACCTGCTCAGCTTTACATAATCCCTCATGTCTACTTGGGTTTTGCTTGCCTGTGCTTCTGAGGTCTCTGCCTATGCAAATGTCTTGCAGAAATCCCTAATATATTCCTCTAGTTATTTGATGGAATCAGGTTGTACATTTAGATCTTTGATCCATTTTGAGTTTATTTCTGTAGAAGGTGGAAGTTAGGGGTCTTGTTTCATACTTCGGCAAAAGTAGATCCAATTTTCCTTGCACTATTTGTTGAAGAGACTATTCTTTCTCCAAGGATGGATTTTAGTTCCTTTGTCAAATATTACTTGGTTGTAGATGTGTGGATTGATTTTGGGAATTACTATTTTGTTCCACTGATCTACATGTCTTTTTCTGTGCCGGTACCAAGCTGTTTTATTATAACTGCCCTGTAGTATGTCTTCATTCTGGTATTGTGATGCCTCTGGCTTTGTTTTCGTTGTTTAAGATTGCTTTAGCTATAGGCGTTTCCTGTGTTTCCATTTGAATTTTAGCAACATTATTTCTAGGTCTGAGAAAAATGTCATTGAATCTGAAAATTTCTTTCAGTAGTATGGATGCTCGATGATATTAATTCTTCCAATCCATGATAATGGAAAACATCTTCCATTTTTTGTGTTTTCTTCTATTTCTTTCTTAAATGTTTTGTAATTTCCATCATAGAGATCTTTCACTTCCGTGGTTAAATGTCTTCCAAGGTTTTAAAATTTTTGTAGCTATTGTGAAAGAGAGTGATCCTACAAATACTTTTTCAACCATGACACTGTCTGTATATAAAAAAGCTATTGATTTCTGAGTATTAATTATATAGCCTGTAACTTTACCAAATTATCTTATGAGAATATATATATATATATATATATACTTGTTTTATCTTCCATGATATAAACCTTTAGCTAATCAAAGAAAACAGAGAAGCTTCAAATAAATAAAATCAGCAATGAACAACAGATGTTTTTATACCTGATACCATAGAAATACAAATGATCATTATTAACTACTATGATCCACTACAATCCACAAAACTAGGAAACCTAGAATAAATGGATAAATATTTAGGTTCCAAAAATTTACCAGAATTGAACTAAGAAGATATTTTTAAACCTGAATACATCAATAACAAGTTATAAGAATGAATCAGTAATTTAAAAAAATTCCCAACAAAGAGTATCTCAGGATCATATTGATTCATGTCTGAATTCTACCAAGCTTTTAAGAAAGAATAACACCAATTATTCTCAACTATCCCATTAAAAATTGAAAGGAAGGGAATTCTTTTTTTTTTTTTTTTTTGACAGGCAGAGTGGAAAGTGAAAGAGAGACACAGAGAGAAAGGTTTTCCTTTTTCCATTGGTTCACCGCCCCCAATGGCCAATACACTGCGCTGATAAGAAGCCCGGAGCCAGGTGCTTCTCCTGGTCTCCCATGTGGGTGTAGGGCCCAAGCACTTGGGCCATTCTCCACTGCACTCCCGGGCCACAGCAGAGAGCTGGACTGGAAGACGAGCAACCAGGACAGAATCTGGTGCCCTGACCAGGACTAGAACCTCTGGTGCCAGTGCCGCAGGCGGAGGATTAGCCTATTAAGCCGTGGTGCCGGCAGAAAGGAAGGGAATTCTTTCAAATTCTTTCTTTAAGGCCAACATTACTCTGATACCAAAGACATGACCAAAAAAAAAACAAAAAACAAAAAACAAAAAACAAAAAACAAAACAGAAAAACTTTAGACCAGTCTCCCTAGTGAACATAAAAAAAAAAAAAAACGCTCAACAAAGTGCTAGAAAATTGATACATCAAAAAAAATCAAGTGGGATTTATCCCAGGGATGAAAGGATGGCTCAACATCTCAACATTAGCCAATCAATGTACATATTACATCAACAGAAGGAAGGGCAAAAATATGATCATCTCAACAGGATGATCGTGGTTGTACTTTTATTGCTTTAATAAACTTCCAACTCAGGGTTTTAGTTAAAAGAAAGTGCTACAGTTCCCAATCAGATAGACTGTTTAGAAATGGTGAACTGTATAGACAGTTTGTATTATAAAGTAAATATTTTAATTATCTGTTACATTTTTATATTTCAAGAAATTTCTTATTAGTGATCAAGATTTTGGTGTTTATGATAGAAAATATTGAAACTGATAATCTGAAATGGCCATCTATGTGATGTGCTCTTTTAGTTTTATCCTAATTTAACATATAATTGTAAATCTACACATGATATGTCATTCTAATGTTTTGGATTTTATTCAATAAATCATGTTTTATGTATGATTGAGGTCACTCAGGTAGTTAAATATCCATACATTTTTATTATTAGTTGCAGTGTTGATATAAATCCATTTTTCAGGGAGAAAACATGTCAATGCATAGTCAGATAAAACGATAAATGTGTTTGATAGTATAATTAATGGGAAAAACATTCACTAACTATTTAAATCTATTGTCTCACAAACTTTAGAAATGTTAACATTTTCAGAGTATGCAGGATGTGCATACAGGAACACACTTTATTACTGGGATGTAACAGTTTGATTTTTTTTCTTGAAAATTAGAAATAATTTTGGCCGGCATTGTGGCTCACTTGGTTAATCCTGCAGCGCCGGCATCCGATATGAGAACCGGGTTCTAATCACGGCTGCTCCTCTTCCAGTCCAGCTCTCTGCTGTGGCCCGGGAGTGCAGTGGAGGATGGCCCAAGTGCTTGGGCCCTGCACCCACATGGGAGACCAGGAGAAGCACCTGGCTCCTGGCTTCAGATTGGTGCAGCATGCTGGCCATAGTGGCCATTTGGGGGGTGAGCCAACAGAAGGAAGACCTTTCTCTCTGCCTCTCTCTCTCTGTCTAACTCTGCCTGTCAAATTTTAAAAAAAAGAAAATTAGAAATAATTTAAACACTTTCTGATTTTAAAATTTTTAAAATCTGTTTGACAAACATTCTTATATCAAAATATAGTTTCCTTTTCATTGCAGAATTGTATCTAAAAATTCATTCTTTAAAAAATTTGGATCCTTTTTAATACAACAAAAACATTTATACTATGTTGCTTTTCAATTCATTAAAAACATTTATAAAGAAGCAATTTGCAGATATAGATTTCAAGATGGTTGAATAGGGTGAAGACTTACTGCTTTGGATGACAGGAAAATGACAGGAGAAAGCAGAAAAAGTATATTCCCAAAAATAAAATTAGTAGGAGAAAAGAAATAATTAAAATAAGAGAATAAACAAAATTGAAACAAAAAAGTATAAAAGATCAGTGAAATGAAGAGATGGTTTTTCAAAAAAAAAAATTAATATACACTGGCCCAACTAAACAAAAGAAGATCCAAACTAATAAGATCAGAGATGAAAAGGAGATGTAATTGCAGATACCACAGAAATAAAATTAATCATCAGGAATTGCTACAATTGCTATATGCCAACAAAACAGAAAATCTAGAAGAAATGGATAGATTCTTAGACATACACAATCTACTAAAACTGAATCACAAAGGCAAAGAAGACCTCAAAAGACCAATAACCAACACAGAGATTTGTCAGAAAT